AGTGGGAGAAAGCAGCGCAAAATAGAACGCAATGAAGAAGAATTGTAAACTCAGTTAATAACGACAACCAAAAAGTAAAGAAACAACAAAGTACTTAATGAGAATTTTAAATGTCCGGAGTGCGGAAGAGAGATAACATCGCGTATCGGTCTTTTCAGTCACAGAAAAGCTCATGAAAGGAAACGCCTTGCGTAACCATCTTCTTGCGTGTTAAATACTCGTCAGCTAGTAATAGCAATAGTACTAGTAGTCTTTTTATTCAGTGCTATTATTCTTAGGGGATAAAAAATGTTGACCTGCCCACGTATATCGTCAAAATAGACAACTACCCATCCCCGATACCCGGGGTAATCCCCCGCTGAGTGAAGATAATGCTTCCTATTTATCCCGACGCCGTCCAGCATTATTTTAAAAAGTTTTATATATCCAGGAGACGAGAGGCATCAATAACAGGGACGTGCCCGACGTTCCGCAACGCCATCCTCCATTTTTCCGTTTCTTCCTGTGCGGCGAAATAAGCGGGATTTTCTGGACGGGATATGGCATAATTCAGTCGGATTTAACAACGGGAATGCTAAGAGTTTATAATCCATAACGGAGAGCCAGAGGGGAATTTATGATTTTAGATGAGGGCCAAGTTTTGTGGGCAGGAACATTTTTTAAGATACCATGTGAATTTTAATAAACTATCTACTTACGTTTAATCAAGTCTATTTTTCCAAGGCTCCTTGATTAAAAATTAGTTGTTTTAACACAGGCATGCCACTCTAGATTGAGATTTAAAAGTCTAAAGCTTCATTCAGAACCTCGCAATTAATCGAATAAATTAGTGGTTTCAATTACACTTTATACTTTTTAGTTTACGATCATTCACAATGTCTAAAAAACACAATTAAAATTAATAGAATATCTTAGCAACAGCTTGCAGTAATCAGTTGTATCCATAGAGGAAGACTAATATTTAGCTTATACCAATAAACTTAACAATAAGCTTTTGGTTTCTAACCACATTTTCTCATGACGGATGATAATCAAAGGCCAAAATGACATTCCTCGTAAATTTTGAAGTATAATTAGTGAAAAAGTTAAAACTGTTTCCACTAAACGAAAATCCATACCACTAATTTTGACGTTCTGAAAACTTACATTCAAGTTAGAGGAACAAACTTCTACCCTTATTGAAACCACTAATTTATTCTACTAATTTCGAGGTTCTGAATGAAGCTTTAGGTCTAAAAACTAAAACGCGTTTCTATGGTAATATAATTTCGTTTTCATCCTTTGATAGGGGAGAGTTACCTAAGATGTGGGACGGTCTCCCAAGAAGAGACAGTCATTTTTTTAAGAACATAGTAGACTTGCGGCGACATCTATTTGTGTTAGTGGAGAGTTAATAGCACGGCCATCTTGCAAATAGAAGATGGCTTGTCAAGTCATATTTGTGCAGAGTGGACAGCCGGTTATTAATTTTTGGAAGATTTTTAAAAATATTTGTTAGCAGGACAACTTCGTATACTGGATTGACGGTAAGTAGCTTATACCTTTTAAGGCCGCGGGTTATAGGTGTGGTTTATTGTAATAATATTTCCAGAAAGAAACTTTGGCAGCAGGTTTGTTTATAAAATAGGTTATATTTTTTATGAATCAGTGCATATTTCTCAAGATGGGACACTTCAGATTTCTTAAGTTGGGACGTCCCAACTTGGGAAACTGTTTATTTTTGAATAAAAGTCTGTAGTTCCAACTTTTTTTTCCATTTCAGATGCCTCCGACAAATCGTTATTATCGTCGAAAAACAGATCGTGGAAAATGGTCGATTCAGGACATGTTAGAGGCCGTCCAAAAAGTGCGTAATAACGAATTGTCAGTACGTCAAGCTGCAGATAAATATAATGTACCCAAAAGTACCTTGCAGCGAAGGGTTGCAAATAGAAATAAAATCGTAAGAGAAAATGAAAAATGCCTCGGACGATTTAGAAAAGTTTTTTCTGATGATCAAGAAAAAGATATTGTTGAATACATTTTAGAAATGGTAAAAAGATTTTTCGGAATAACTTACAAAGAACTTCGCCAGTTGGCCTTCGATTTTGCTTCACCCAACAACATACCAAATAACTTCCATAGAGAAAATAAAATGGCGTCCAAAAAATGGATATACGGGTTTTTATCTCGACACAAACATGTTACCCTCAGAAAACCCGAAGCAACATCATACGCTAGAGCTACCGGTTTTAATAAAAATACAGTCCAGTTTTTTCAAAAATCTTGAAGGTATTTAAATACCTAAATATAGAAACTTAATAACGTACTGAAACATACAGCGCCATAATATCTCGACCTCCGCCCGTTATGCTCGTAACAGGTTGAAAAACAATATATCTAAAACAACTGATTCGTTATTCTCCAACCTGTTTCGAACTTCCATCGACAATCGACCGATGCAGCAGCCTTCCTTTCCCACTCCTGTTATCTCGACCGCCAGGCGTTATGCCCGCAACTAGTGATGGGCAAAACTGTTATTTTTAGATAACAGTTGAAACTGTTATAGTTATTTATAAAAAACAGCTTAAAATAACAGCTTAAAAATAACAGGTTTCTTTATTTTATTGCTAAATATCTGAAAGAGTATGAAGCGGTCGCCGCCAGGCGTATTAACGCAGTTGCAAGTTGCTACAATGACATGCTCGGTGGTAGTATTTCCAGGGTGTCTAAAAATTTCTAAATATCGATTGTTATCTAAAATACCTCTCTAAAAACGGTCGTTGTTTACAAATAAGCGCTGTTTACAAATTGCGATATAAAAAAGCCAAAATTCCGCCACTCGTCTATACGTATACATTCCGATCTACCTACGCCTTGCCCCTCGATCGGCGTAGATCCTGAATTGCGTAGCAGTGTACAGGGTGCATCTCACTCGACGGGCAAGAAGCTCTTAGTTATAATTTTACCATTTGTGGTCAAAAAATAGCAATATAAGAAAATGTGTAGTATATTCTTCATAAGTAAACCAACTACACACTAGAGTTCGAATTAATTTTACACTTAAACTAGCGTGTAAATTTCACAATTAGAAATTATTAATTCGACCCGCGACTTCGTTCGCGTCGAATTAATAATTTCTAATGGTGATGATAAAGAAAAACAAGAATTTCCATTAACATACAAACTAGATAAAATTTTCTCACATTTGCCAAAAATAAGCTTTAAACGTCGAGCAGTTTAAGCAGAATCGTGGTTAATCAATTACTCAACTTTTTGGAACAACGTGTACGATTTTTTAAAAAATTTCAAAATATGTAAAAAAACAAAATAAATTATGCGTGTCTAGGCGTTTTCCCGAAAGACTAACCGTTTTTTAAATAACAAATATTGTAATATTTGAGGGGCGTTTTCACCCTGTTGGAATTTGAGATTCGAGAAACTCCGCCTTATCGAACCTCAACCCCACAGTCAATCTGTTTGCCAAAAATCAGCTTTAAACGTCAAGCAGTTTAAGCAGAATAGTGATAACTCAATGGTCATATTTTATGAAGCACCCTGTATATATTTTTAAAAAATCTTAAAATATGTAAAACAACATAATAAAATATACGTGTTTTAAGAGTTTTCCCGAAAAACTCACCGGCTTTTAAATAAAAAATATTCTAATATTTGAGGGTAGTTTCACCCCCTTAAAATTCGAGTTTTGAAAAATCCCTTCTTATCGAACCTCTACACCCTAAAGTAAATCCGTTTTCCAAAAATCGGCTTTTTACGTCAAGGGCTTTAAGCAGGATCGTGATTAATCAATGACCAGATTTTTCAAAACACCCTGTATACATTTTTAAAAAAACTGAAAATATTATTCTGAAAATTTTTCAGAATAAATAAATACCTAAATATTGAAACTTAATAACGTACTGAAACATACAGCGCCATAATATCTCGACCTCCGCCCGTTATGCTCGTAAGAGGTTGAAAAACAATGTATCTAAAACAACTGATGCGTTATTCTCCAACCTGTTTCGAACTTCCATCGACAATCGACCGATGCGGCAGCGTTCCTTTCCCACTCCGATTATCTCGACCGCCACCCTGTTATGCTCGTAACAGATTGAAAAACAACGTATCTAAAATGACTGCTTCTCCAACCCGTTGCGAGCCTCCATCGACAATCGACCGATGCAGCAGCGTTCCTTTCCTACTCCTGTTATCTCGACCGCCAGGCGTTATGCCCGCAACTGTTTCAAAAAAACTGCTTCTTTTATATCCTATTATTTTTAAGCTGTTATAAGCCCAATATCGACGGCATCGACCGAAGCAGCTACGTTCGCCGTAGCGCATTCCCCACTCCGTTGTCCGTTGTCTCGCCGCCTGTATCGATGGTTGACGAAATAACATGTTTCCATCCATACTAGTTGTTTTTTGGAATTGCTTCGAGCAGCATAGAATTTCGGGGCGGTGCAGAGCGCCGACTTCGTTTTTCGTTTCACGAGCGGCCGATCTCTACGTGTCGTTATTTTATATCTGTTATTTTTTAGAAGTAGTAACGGTTGCGTTATGTTATTTCTAAATAATTGTTATAAAATACAGATAGTTAAATAAACAACCCATCACTACTCCGCAACTCGTTTCAAAACCCGCTTCCTTTTATATATATATCCTATTATTTTAAGCTGTTATAAGCGCAATACGACCGTCGACGGGATCGACTCGAAGTAGCTACGTTCGCTGTAGCGCATTCCTCACCCGTTGTCCGCTGTCTCGCCGCCGCCTGTATCGATGGTTGACGCAACAACAGCTCTTCCATCCATACTAGTTGTTTTTGGAATTGCTTCGAGCAGCATAGAATTTCGGGGCGGTGCAGAGCGCCGACTTCGTTTTTCGTTTCACGAGCGGCCGATCTCTACGTGTCGTTATTTTATATCTGTTATTTTTTAGAAGCAGTAACGGTTGCGTTATGTTATTTCTAAATAATTGTTATAAAATAACAGATAGTTAAATAACAACCCATCACTACTATGAATGCAAGTGGTAATTTTTTGGCACCTGCATTTATATTTCCTAGAAAGAGGATAAAACCGGAATTAATGGATAATGCGCCCAGTGGAAGTCCAGCCCTTCCCCAAGATAAAGGTTGGATGAATCGAGATGTGTTTTTACACTATATGCACTACTTTGTTGAGCAAACAAGGCCGTCAAAAGAAAGATCAATTCTTATTATTTTAGACGGCCATAGTTCTCATACAAAAAGTTTGAATGTTATAGACTTTTGGCGTGCTTATGGAGTTATTCTGTTGTGCCTACCGCCCCGCTGTACACACAAAATTCAACCGTTGGATGTATCGTATTTCAAATCTGTTATGACCTATTACGATACGTACCTTTCCAGATGGTTGAAAAATCATTGTGGTCGCACTTTCGGGCTCTATCAAATTGCAGGAGCTGTTTCAGAAGCCTTTGAAAAATCAGCAAATGTTCAAACTGCTGTGAATGGGTTCAGAAGAACAGGTATCTGGCCGTTCAATGCCGATGTATTCGAAGATTGGGAATTTGCCGCTGCAGAAACAACTAACACTGAAGTAGATCCATATCAAAACCCCTCTACCTCCAGAAAAGACACTATTTCACAATCTTCGGAAAATGGTCAAAACAACGAGAGTAGCTCAGAAGATAAACTTCCGCTAGTAGCCTTGGTTGCTTCGCGGAAAAAGGAAATCCTTCCAGATAACAACTCTTCTCCGTCTAAAGTAAAAATTATTGACATCAGTCCTTTACCGATAGCTAAAGACAAACGAAAAAAACAAACAGCTAGGAGATCATTGAAGTCTACTATTTTAACAGAGTCCCCATACAAAAACCAACTGGAGGCCCAGCAGACGCCAAAAGTAATTAAAAAAATAAACAGTGTTAAAAATATACTTTTCAATAAAGGTCTACGTGCCCAAGGTGTAAGAAAACAAAGCTGCAGTCAGAATAAAATTGACTGCAAAGAATGTTACTGATGAAGATGACACAGCATGTACGGTATGTGGAGACAACTATATGGAGAGTGGAGAAGACTGGTATAATTGCCATAAATGTTCACAGTGAGCTCATGAGTCTTGTGGAATTATGGATGATTTGTATTTCACATGTGCCCATTGTGAAAAGTGATGTCCCTTCTTAGGCAACCTCCTGACCAGACTTAGCTTCCTAAGATGGGACAAAAACTCTTTTTTATTATTTAGGGAATTACATGCATTTTGTTTTTTCTATACGTAATTTTTTCACCAAAGTTTGTTGGCTATGGAATATAAGTTTCGTTCATTTACAAAAACTTGTTTTATTTTGTTTAGCTATTAAGATATGTGATGTTGATTGCTGCTGTTAAATATTAAATAAGCACAAAATTTATTTAACTATTCAATGCTACGAAAAGGCGATAATAGTTATCGGAAAATTTGAGACTTTAACAATATTTTTTTTTTTTTTCAATTATTAGCGATGGGAACTATCGAATGAATTAGACTATCGAATGGTTACTGAATGAATGATTTCAACTATCGAATGGTTTCATTCGAATAAAATCATTCATTCATTTGTATACTACTACGACTATCGAATGCTTTTTATAAATGAAATTTAGTATTCGTTTGATTTTTGTCTGCGTCAGTGCATTATTAGTCCTTCCAAATTTTTATAACTTGCCTTCTAAATACTGTGCTATTTTTGCGTTTATTAAAATATTTAAAATACTAAAGTAGTAGTGTTTTTTTTTTAAATTGATGATTGTATGTGCGACCTATAAAATGCGACATACGACTAATCGGACTGCCGACTGATTGTATATACCGTCCTTCGTCATCGTCTTTGCCGTTATTATTTTTTATCAAAAGTATTTAGCTATTGGAAAAATGGCCATTTCTTGAATGAAGTCCTTCCTAGCATATTTTTCTTATTATCTTAAAACAAAGTAACTTGCACTTGGTTGAATGAATATAGATTCAAGAGAACCAGTTTTCTTCAGTTAAGAGAGTTTTTCTTCAGGCAAAATATTTTCTTTTACGCTAAAATAAATTCTTTTGCCACTAAATTTTTTTTTCAAGAACCATGACGACTTTAGTTCAAGTATATCTTTCTTATCAGTGCACCCTCCAAATAACCACGCTAACCAACTCGCCAAATAACTAAACCAATCCAACCAAAAAGAGTGGTTAAATTGAGTTGGTCAGATGCCGAATCGCTCACTGTTTCGGCATCTGGCAAGTTTAATATGGACAAATCGCGAAGTGTCTAATTATTTCGGTATCTGCCTCCAGCATATATATTGATAAAAAACATATAAAGTTATTCTAAATTTCATTCAAACTCAGTTACATACATTTATAATGAAACAGGTATAGTTTCTAGAAATAAAAGGAAATATGCGTTGGGCATAATTTTCTCATTCCAAATATTCAATACGAGAATTGCTGATAGCTTGAAGCTGTTAAACTTCGCATCCGGTTTTCGTATTTTCGGCATTGTTTGCGCTATTTCCGCAAAGCTGGAGTTCAAAAGCGAATGAACCATGATAGTTTCAATATACATCCAGGGTTTATCTCTATATCCAGGCTGTAAATACATTGAAGCTCATATTCGGAGCTCTCTGAAACTAATTTAGCGAACTCTTCTTCTATACTTATGTGAATTAAAAGTACATATTTGCACATATACAGTATTATACCGTGTGATCGAAAAAAACGGCGTCCAGTTGGCTTGGAAATGAATATCAATGACTTTCCCCATATAATTTTACATATAAAACGACAGCATCTTCATTTCATAGCCATGGCTGACGCCGTTTTTTTTTCGATCATACGGTATTAGGATGTATTAGTGCCCACTGACAAAGTTATCATTGTAGAGTATACAGGGAAACTGCGGCAGCATATTCTGCTGATAAAAATAAGTAAAAAAGTTCGTATAAATGTATGTCCTAAAATGCTTAGTTTCGAAGATACAGGGTGTAAAAGTTTCATTTTTATTTCGATTTTTTCCAAATAATTTACGAACTAACGTCAATATTTGGATGAAAATTGGTGTTTGGGAGTTTTTTGACATGAGAAATTTTATATTGATATCAATATTTGACTCCTACTTGTAGAGGGCGCCACCTACATATTTTTAGCTAATAACTTTTTAACTTAGGGACACAAATTCTCATCCAAATATTGACGTTATTTCTAGCGATGGGAACTACCGAATGAGTTAGACTATCGAATGGTTACTGAATGAATGATTTCAACTATCGAATGTTTTCATTCGAATAAAATCATTCATTCATTTGTATACTAAAGCATATGTGACAACCTCGCCGTCCGACTAAATGGTTATCGTTAAGCCACGACTATCGAATGCTTTAGATAAATGAAATTTAGTATTCGTTTGATTTTTGTCTGCGTCAGTGCATTATTAGTTCTTCCAAATTTTTATAACTTGCCTTCTAAATACTGTGCTATTTTTGCGTTTATTAAAATATTTAAAATACTAAAGTAGTAGTGTTTTTTTTTAAATTGACGATTGTGTACGTGTGCAGGTGGTCAAAATTTTCCGAAAATTTGTGTGATTTTCCGATCTTTCAATTATTTAAGTTTTTATACGGTATATGGTCTATTTTTAATGGGAAATAGGAGAAAGTAACTTTTTAAGAGAGATGAGGTGAACTTACAAATCGTAATTTTAAAAATACATATGTATTTGTATTGGAAGATGTTTTAGTAATATGAATTAGTTGAACTTAAGCATTATTTAAGTAATGGTAATGTACCAATAAATAGTTATCGAACTCAAATTTTGGGATGAACCGCGTGTTACAATTACAATTAGGCTTCCTTATGCGAAAATGTCAAAAGTTGAGCATATGGTGTCATTATTCAGAGTGTCATTTGTTTTCTATCAAGATAAAGTAGAAAATATACCGAGAGTGCCGTTTAAAAATTAAAGTTATAGTCATTCCGGTGGGAAACAGGAAGTGACCAAAAACAATTGATTAACGTCACGTGCCAATTTATTTCATAAAAAAAGTTAACGATATTTGTATTTTGTTTATGCTAATTCTCTTACATGGATTTTTGCGAAGAAATATTTCATTTATTTTTTAAAGACAGTACCAGTTAAACCAAATATTATTTTTAAATACTAATACAAAGTACGCTAAAAAGCTTTAATAAACATATATAATTTTGATTTCTAATTTTTATATTTTTCTTCTATTACACTGCATGCTTAGAAAATTAATAAATGTTTATATTTCATGATTTTAAAATTTGTTGTTAATATAACAAATTAGTTCTGTAATTATTATTATTTAATAAACCAACGTTGCCTAAAATTTGGAACTATATTATTTTTTAAATAGGATCTAATAGAAATAATTTTGACTTCTATTTGTTGGTTTATATTTTGCTACTACTTAAAAAATGTTTATATTAAATGATTTTAAATTTTGGTGTTAATAGGTATAACAAATTATTACTGTTATTATTATTTAATTATAGCTTCATTAAAATAAAAAAATACCCGGCTATGATACAGGTGAGTTCAGGTGTAAACGAAAGACGGTGTTGTGTTTCTCGGCAGAGTGCGTCAAGGGAACGTACGTTACGACAGAGACAACCTATCTATCGCTCGTGTCGCACTCGTTTATAACCCTAAAACAATAACACAACAATAACAAGACAGTGTCTGACCGCATGTTCCAACTATTTAAAATGAGTTTTGCTTAAAAACATTAAAAATTTTTCTACATCCAAAATAAAAAGTATTATTGGAAAGAAACCTACGTCGCCGGGCGACAACTAAAATCCAGTTTATATTTTATTATAATCGATCCTGACGAATAAATGAATTTTACAAATGAATGAATTTTATAAATGAATGGTTTTAGCTGCCGAATTAATATATTTCAAGGCAGATGACGCATCTATTCGATATTTTTATTCGAATAGTTTTCGACGAATGTTTTCTTACTAGCTATCGAATTATTCGAATGAATTGCAACTATCGAATGTTTCGATAGTATTCATTCGATAGTTCCCACTACTAGTTATTTCAGAAATGATTTGGAAAAAATCGATATAAAAATGAAACTCCTACACACTTTTTTACTTATTTATATCTTCAGACTAATATGCTGACGAAGTTTTCGGAATACAGTTTGCACCAAGCGGAATACAATTTCGGAATACAGTAGCGCCAAGGGTATAGAAAAATACACCCTTTTTTCGTTCCCAAAATTTAACAAAATTCATTTTAGTAATGTTACTTAATAAATTTTCCTTAATTGCAGAGTCAAGCTTTAAGGGTGGTCAGGACAGTGGGCCAGGCCTTCGAGGTGTGCCATAAACTATCCATAGGGGCTCCAGAGGATAACCTGGACGACGAGCAGGAGACCACTGTGACGCAGGACTTGCTCAGCGATCGGCTGAGCGATGTAGCCAGTGACAAGCCCAAAAAAGGTAACTGAAATAACTATTTACGCCAAAATATCATTTTACGGTCAAGCGACTGTCTATGACTGTGAAGAAGACTGCCATGTAATTATAGGCGACTGCCGTAAGACTGCCAATAAAATGTACAGGGTGGTCGAAATTGGCCTGTTTTAACAGAGAAAACCTATTTCCTGACTAGATAGAGCAAAACCGATATAGATGTCATAGGCTCGATTTTTGAGAAACGTTTAATGGCGTAAACCGCCTGTTGATATTTTCACTGCCAACTGAGATTCGGGGTATTTTTGAATTTTTTACTATTTTGAAAATTGCTCATAACTTTTTTATTTTGCTGAATAATCAAATTCTGTAAAAACGTTATTAAGGCACTTTTTTAAGCACAATCCAGTGGCATAGTCAGTTTTTTTCTATGCTTGCTCTTTTTGTCACAAATAATGAAAAATATAATTTTTTAAATGGAAATCATAGTTGGCTATGAATTTAGAAAAATGCTGACATTTAACCCTTTTCAACGATATAAAGTTAGGGGTATATATTTCTAAGAATGAGAGAAATATTAGGTTTTTTATCTTTATATCGAAGCG